CCTCATTTGCAGTACAGGGACCCCGATGGACAGCCGACCCTGTCTGAAGCGCAACTAGAGCACAATCCCATCTGGTTTCGCTATCCTTACCCAAGAACGCCTTCAAGCAGGTTAACACCGTGATTTTTGTCGCTTCGCAAGGTCTCTTTGTGCTGAAAAGAACAGCAGGCGATTGATCCCAGAAGACATTCATCAGCATGTCGTCACTGACTGCTCGCTCTGTGCTTCCGTGTCTGTATGCCTCGAGCGCGATAATCGTCTCGGAAGCAACGTAAGTTGTACTCATACTCTATGTGTACATGCTCGATGCTTGTCCAGTTGGCGCGCGCCTGCCTCTTTCCTTCCAGTCTGGACGGGGACGCTGTGGATCAATTTAGTGGTCGCTTCGACTTGAAGCTCTTTTTCAACGGATGTTGGCGCCGAGTAAGTCATAATTTATGGCTTACATCGTGTAACTGATTTTTGAAGATCAGTACGGCGCTTATCCTTTTTGTGTATCTGGTTTCCGACCGCTTTCTAGCAATCGACGACAAGCTGCCTCGCAGTGCATCTATCCAAAGGCTGGTATGCATGTCTTGCCTGACGCTGAACACCGTCGGAAACGTCGGTTTTGAGTTTATCTGGCCGAGCATACTTGAGAAAGGGGTAAGCTTATCACATATTCGGATGATCGTCTACTCACTTTGAGTCTAGTACATGAAATTTATGGGAGGATATGATTTTCCGGGATCGTAAGTCTAAAACAGTTTATTCTTACTTGCCGCCAACATCCTCGATAGCAACTCCAATATAGACCTTCAGTGCGTTATATTTCCTTCGCGTCACATATTGCTGACGTGCTTCAGCGCCCTTACTGGATGGATACCAGAGCACATCGACATACACAGGTATGCCCCTGAAGAATTTAGAACCCAGCGAACGTCTCATTGGCGGCTCAAAGCCCGCATTTTGTTCGGGAGCGGACGTGGACTCGTCTGAAGCAGGGCTTTGACAAAGGTGCACTCGCTCATGATGTCCGAAGTCAGACTTACCATTCAGCAGGCGACTGCTTGATCACTCTTGGTACAGGCAAGCGAGATAACCTGAGCTGGCAGGGAAACTCTCTGCTTTGTACCCATAACTATGCGGTTACAGGTATGGGCCTCACTCCGCGGTATGGCAATCACTAAACTCTGAACCAGACGTGTTTGAAGACGGAATGGAACGAGAGATGGTTGTTCTCGACTCCTGGTATGAAGCGCTCGAAGAGGAGGAATGTCCTGAGTCGTCGAGTAAGCATTTGGTTAATAAAGTGATCCTTCTCTGTCTGGACTCATTGCGTCCCACAGGAAGCCTGCGCATTCCATGGCCTGATGTTATTGATATGTTCGAGGGCATCCACGTGAATTGGAATCCGGCTACTTGGGCAAGCTCTCTGACTTTCCACGGGTGCGCCTCCTTTAACTGCGTTGATGCCCTTGCTCAAGCAACAATTAGGATATGGAAACGGGACGTGAAAACTGCCAGCAGTAAGTCGTATCAATCCAGTGGTCTCTTTCGCGCTGAACGTGAGCTAGCCCAGTCGAAGCAGATACGACTGATGTATGATTCCTCACGCTCCACCGGAGTTGAGCTCGACATCGGTGTACTCCTATCACGCCACACGGACGACACGAGACGCACCCACGACTACATCAGCCTGAAAGTACAGGAGGAGGACGAAGATTGCCGAGACCGCCAATTGTCCCAACAAATTTCGACCCAGGTGCGTACCAGCTTGGTCCGCGATGAGAGCTCGCTGAAGATGACATAGGGCGAGTACACCAACTCCCTTCACATATTTGTAAGCATACGTGCATGTTATTGCTCAGTCAACCTGATCTGACCGCCATTTAGGAGAAAGCCAGGCTGCCGTCCTTGTCAAGCTCAGGCTCCTTGTTGATATACTGCTCCTACGAGAGCGTCGTCGCCGATACCGGTTTCACTCTAACCGCCTATGCGCCGACGGGACTTCAAATATCATGGGACGAGCGTGTCTCTCGTCCACCATATGTCGTACAGGTACGCTTCCCTGTTTCTCGTACAACTCCAAACTCCAAGCTGAAACCTATGTGCAAGACCGAGGGCAGACTCACCGCCAAAAGCGCAGGCGGGAATGCAAGCCATCCAACGTTCATGTATAATCCTCAGTACCACCTAAAGCTCTTCCCGCCCAAGCGGGGAGATCCTCGAGCGAGATCTGCCATCACGATGTCCTTGAAGACGACTCGAGGACTTCTAGTCAATATCACAGCTGCCTGGTCCCAGGGAGAGCGCATAGATCAGTGCGTGCATGATCTTACAGTGCGTTCCGCGACCGTCTGACCTTTCTCAGGCTTTCTCAAAGCAACGTCGCGGCGTCGTCGGGAGCCTACACATACGGCACAGCGCACCTCGTCAACTGCCTTCCCCGTACGTGTTCTTCCTTAGGTACAATCGGCTAGCTCACTCGGAGTTTAACAGCTGGAGATTACACCGTAATCGTATCGGCCTTTGAGCCCAGATATACAGGCCCGTTTACTCTGCGCGTAGAGAGTGAGAACGTCGCGGAGATATCGCCCATCCCACAAGAGGGCGCGGGCATGTACGCGACGATCGTGCGCGGATCATGGTCAGTGCGGATATACCCCCATTGCCCCAACTCACTTCCATGCAAGGAATGTAAAATCTGCAGGCGGCAGTCCCAGTTTCCGCCGCTACGGGACGAACCCGATGTACTCCTTTTCACCAAAGGTAACGACACGCATCAAGTCAGTCATGTTATGCTGCTGCATTGACAAGCATATGTTGACATCTCGCAGGGCCCGTTTACAGCTAGTCAAGCCGTCCGCAAGCGCGGCTCTGAACCTGACGATCTACCGCGCCGACGACATAGGCGACTTCAGCCGTCACGTCGCCACTTCCGGCCCGTACGACGATGCCCTATCCGGCGTGAGCACGCCGGAGACGACGCTGCAGCCTGGCACCTACGTGCTCGTTCCATCGACGTACAACCCCGGAATCCTCAGCGCCTTCCAGATGCACGTGTATGCGTCGGCACCCGACCTTATTTTTGAGACCGTGGGCTCGGGGTGAGCGTGTTGGTGGTGGATCTGCTATCATGTCCGGAATGTTGGCGAGGAGAGGAGGAATTCGTTCACGCGCTTGAGCGTTGTCCGGGATGGATTTGCTTGCGCCCGGCTTGCGATGATCCACTCCAGCCGTCTGCGGATCGTCTTTTTGTCTACAATATATTTTGCTGCAATGGGAACGTCAGCTGTGTTTATTGCGGAGGACACGTATAACATTTACCTGAGGGCGTGTAATGACCATCGTCATCGAAGTTCAGCTGGAGAGCAGCCACTGCGACGCCGACGCTCAGATCGGAACCGGTGTCGCAGGCGATGCAGATGTTCTTTCCGCTAGCGAGGGAGGAGCGGATGAACGCTGTGGCTTGCGGTAGGACGGTCTTCAGGTATTCCATCTGCACGTTTTTCGAGGACATTGGGTAGATCTCGACGGCAGAGGAGGCGTGCAACGGTCGAGGAGTCTGTGTGATAAGGACATAGACGGTATCATCGACAGCGGCGGCCCTTGAATCAGTGCTGTCGAGCTGGAGGTCGTCGATGGCGCATAGAAGGATGCGTCCTGCTACTTTTGCCACTGGCGACGGAGGTGCTCGCGCCGTGAGCGACTGCGCGTAAGTAGAAGCGCATATGCTCTCTACGACGGCCTCAACGTCCTCCCTAGATGCACCGATGATTCTGTCATGGTTTGCCCAGAAGATAGCGGGCGTCAAGCCCTACATATTAAGATACCGTCTCAGCATTGCCGGTTCGGCGCGGCTTATGAAGAAGTGCCTACCTTGGCCCACAACTCGTGGTCATCCCCGGAACCTTGAACATATGCGAAGCCGGCGCCGCGTCTCTCCAATCCGTTGTCGACCTGGCGGGAGGCAGAGACGCAGATGACGGGCAAGGCGTCAGCCTGCAACGCCTTCACGGCCGGAAAGGTCGATGATGAGGGCGTTATCCAGACCGGCCTCAATGGCAGAGGAAGAGCCGGAAGGACGTAGGAGGACGCCTGCAGAACGGTCAGTGATGTCAGTATCTAGGCGACAAACGACGAAAGATAATCGGTGCTCACCGCTAGGTCGGCGGCCCATTTGTCCAGTCGCTCCTCTATCTGCAGGTGCTCCTGGCGACTGACGACTTGCGGTGGCGTATATAGCGCCGTATCCCAGGTATCCGCGGAGTTGTGTCCCCGAGACCTAAGCAGCACTGCGTGGTTGACAACGCTGCACCAGATGGGCACTGTCTTTGACAGGGCGTCCGGCATTCGCTTGCCTGCGCGAGTCGAGTCCACAAGGACGATCCTGCACTCATAGTCAGCATCTTGTCAGATATCTGTAAGGAAACTTGGATCTGCCCACCCTCTCTGCTCTGCAATCAGGGAAAGCAGATGCAGATTGGCACGGCGTAGGTTGAAGCTCCAGTTATTCGTGTGCCCATCGGTTGATTTGAAGTACGCGGGGACGTCGGTAGCCTATTTTATCAACAGTCCTGTCAGAGAGTAGAGAAGACAGGCGAGCTATGCTCACTTACAATAGCGGGGTCCGCGTACCAAGCTCCGCAACGCAGGTTCGCTGTGGCGCGGCGGTGTGAGCAATCATATCCAGCGATACCAACGAAATCTCTATTCAAGCTGAGCAAAGTGATGACTTACGCAGGAGAGGAAATAAAGGGTAGTACTGCTGTACATCTGCCACAAATCGGGCGTCGTAGTCGACAGAATGTAACCGATTGTAGAGATCAAGGCTTTCTTTGCGGATGTGATCAAAGATTTCTTTACTGCTGTCGTGCAGTGGCATGACTATTATGCAGAGGCCCGGCGTCGACTGGTCGGCAGATAAAGAGTCAAGTCACTGGTACAGCTGCGGATGAGCGATTTGAACCCCGCTGTGGCGTATTGAAGGTGAGCAAGCAGAGAGCAAGAAAAATTCATCCCTTCTGCCTGGTTCGAACAGGCGACATTCAGATGAGCTTGTTATCCAATTACAGTCTGACGCTCTTCCAACTGAGCTAAGAAGGGGATACAATGAGATGGCTTCATTACATGAGTCTTTCACACGCGTGACTCCTTTGTCTTCGGCAAGCAGCCGCGCGCGACTTGTGAGGCAGAGATCGGCTACTCGCTCCGATTCTCCTGACTTGACTCGACCCCTCACACACATGATCTTGATGCCTTGTCGGCGGTTTGCAGGGCGCTCGACCAATGGTAGTAGGCTCGGACTGGACTCCGGCGTGCTTGCCCTTACGTAGATCTGCAAAAGACCTTCTTGACTCCAACCATGTCGGTCTGTACTACGGCGAGTGCGCCTTCGCGCAGGAGCTTCTCTCAAGATTCGATGGAATTGGCCACTCGCACCCCACTGCCCCAGTCAACGTCCACCGTACATATGACCTATGAAGATGATCTCCTCAGGATGTCCCGTTCGACCAGTAGGTTGTCTGTGATGCCGAACACGTCCCAACTTCCTCCTATGGACCGCGGATTTGGTGCTTGGTCTTTTGTGAGTCCAACTGCGGCACGTACGGGTGCAGTGTCTAACTGCTTCCTGGGGCCCTTTCCAGCTGGCCGCCGCTTTCTTGGTAGAGACCATTGTTTGGGGATTCCCGACCGCATACGGAACGTTTCTCAGCGGTCAGTGCCCCGCCGAGAAGGCGATGCAGTATGCTTAACGACGCTCGCAGCCTACCTGGATGACCCGCGTTTCGCCTCTCAACGTCAGGCCACAACGCTGCTTGCACTCGTCGGTCCGGTGGCGTCAGGCATCATGTATTGTTTTTGTGCGTTCGCTTGTTCTTTCATGGTGTCACAGTACTGTCTGATGAGAGTCGCTCAAGCGCCTGTGGTCAATCCACTAGTCCGCCGCTATCCTCGGTATCGTCGCTACTGCGTATGGGTGGGGACGTTGCTATGCTTTACCAGTCTTTTCGGCGCGAGCTATGCGCGAACGGTGTGTTTACAATTCCCAAAGAGAACGATTGCTCATTCTGGTATCAAGGTAGCACAGCTGGTAGCGCTGCAGGGTGTGCTCTATGCAATCGGGGGATGTAAGTCTTTGCCATTATGAGTCAATCCTTCTTGACACTCAACACCCTCTTTAGCACTGATTTATGCAATTACGATTTGTTACATGTCCGAGTGGTTTCTTGAGCGGCGCGGCATCGCTAACGGGGTCATGTTCGCCGGTAAATTGCCGATAACAGCATCACATCCAATGACTGATTGGTAGGTCTGCAGGATCCTCCGTCGGAGGCATCATCCTCCCCCTCGCCTGTCCACGGCTCATTGCGCGCTACGGCATTCCCGCCACCTTACGAATATTCGCTGTGGGGATACTGGTCCTCCTAGTTCCCGTCATACCTTTCATAAAGGGTCGGATCCCGGACACGCACAGCCAGGTACATGGCCCGGCACCAAGGAGTCGCAAGGACTGGTACAAGGAGCCCTCGTTTCAGTTTCTCCTCGCTGCGAACTCCCTACAGGCCTTTGGATATTTCGTACCCTTGGTCTGGCTTCCGAGTGCGTCCGTTTGACGGTTTCTAAAACTGACAATGAGTGAACTGATCCTTCCAGCCTTCGCGAGCGAGCTCAATCTCAGCGCGAGCCGATCTTCGCTTACTTTGGCCCTGCTGAACGGTACAGTGTCACCCGCCGCCTCCCGCGCACTGCTCACACTCTCATAGGCGCCTCCGTATGTGGGCGTCTCGCCATGGGCGCCCTCTCAGACCACCTCAATCCTTGGGCACTCGCTCTCGGCACCCTTCTCTCGACCTCCTTCGCCGCCTTCGTTCTCTGGGGTGTGTTTTCGCACACATTCGCCGGTCTGGTCGTATTTGGCATCGTGTACGGAGTGTTCTCGGCGGGCTGGTCAACGCTGTGGACGGGCTTCATTCGTCCGATTGCGAGTGAGTATCGCAGCGGCTCTTTTCTGCGTTTTAATCTCATGTACATCCACAGAGGACGACCCGAACCTGTCGACGACTCTCTTCGGCTGGCTACTCCTCACGCGAGGACTGGGCAACATACTCTCGACACCGATTTCGACGGCGCTGGAGACGCATGCATCCTCGAATACCACTGCGAGCTCGATCGCCGCACTGGATCTGGGCTTTCAAGTCGCTGGTGGGCGATTTGAGAGAATGATTGTGTACACTGGGACGTGCTTTGCGGGCGCTGCCGCGGTTGCCATTGTAGGCTGGGGCTCGGAGATTAGGAAGCGGCTTCGAGCGACTGCCTTGGAATGAGCCAGCCTTTACGAAGTCGATCTATAATACAAAGCAGCTCCCTCCTTTCCCAAACCAGTAAGTAACAAGAAACGAGCGGAAAAAGACAGTCAAAATAACTGGGTGGGATGCAGTCATTGCAGGCGGCGGATGGTGCCGAACTTCGAGAGGTCACCGGCCTTGGCGGGCGGGCGCGGAGCGGAGCCGGCGACTGTCCAGCCATCGGGGCCGACGTGCTCTGAATTCCTCTTCTCGCCGCCGCGTCTTGAACCACCGCGGGACATGCTGGACTGGCGGTGCATTGTCTCCTTCTCCTGCGCAGCCTTCTCCTTGGCAGCCTGCACGGAGTCAGTATTTAAGAACGCGTAGTTGAGATGCAAAATTACAAGCTCGTGGATCTGCGCAATGGTGGCAGGACCCGCAGCCGCCGTACGTCCGCGCCACCCACGCCCCCGGAGTTCGATAAGGTCCTATGAAATAGTAAGACAATCGTAGCACGAACTAATTGAAAGGCTGAGACTTACCTGCAACATGAACTGCATGCGCGAGTTCACGCTCGGCTTCTTCGTCATCTCCTTCATGCGGGCGAAGTACACGTCCATATGCGCATGCGCGCGGGGAGTATCGAGCAGCTCGCCCACAGTCGTGAATAATGTGCACACGCTCTCGATCTCCTCTTCCTCGGGGTTCTCGACGTTGCCCAGCAGCTTCTGCACACACTGGTGCATGTTGCGCTCCGTCAGCATCTGTAGCTTGAACAGCTCGCCGATGAAGCGGATGAGACCGAGACCTTGACGCTTTGCCTTCTGCGCAGCGTAGTAATCGTCGGAGTACAAGTCCGGCTCATGTACATTGTCGCCGCCCTCCTTGTTCGCGCTCGCCGCTTGGACGGCTTTGTCCCCCACGGCCTTGGTAGCGGCGGTAGCGGCGGTCGTCTCCTTGTTCACCTAGCCACGCTCAAAGTCTTCTTGACAGCGGTTCAAGAGGTACTTGCGGAAGAGCTGGCCACCGGTGATGGGCTTCCCCTCCGCGTTCTTGATGCCGTCGTCCTGCACCTTCGGGCTGATCTGCTCCATCATCTTGCGGCACAACCGCGCGTACATCTCCGACCACGCGTACATCTCCGGCCACGCCGCCTCGTTTATTGCCGTTTCGAAGACGAGTCGAATGACCTGGATGAACGTCCGACCGTCTTTCTCCGTCTCCGACTTGTTCGCCCAGGCGATGATCTGGTCCGACAGCGAGTCGAACTTCGCCATGGTAAGTTTGTTGAGCAGACCCTTGACCCTACAGTCGACGACGAAGGGCCAGTCGCGTTCGTTGGTCAGCGGATACGTGCGAGGATCCCAACGGTTCTCCGACCTCCGGAGAGGCGCGAAGACCTTGCGACAAACGACCGAGGTGTCGCTCTCGTCAACGGTCTTGTCCTGACTGCGCTGACTCGGGGACTTCGAGGGGTGTGCGGAGGGGCGCAATATGGGGATATCAGCTGGTTCTCCTGCAGTGAGAGTTCCACGAACGCAGCCCTCGGGATCGTGGAGACGGATGAGCCAGGGCAAAGATGAGCCCTGTGTGGCTGCTTGAGCGGGTGCCACAGTGAGCGTCCAGGCGCCAGCTCCATCCGGGGAGCGAAGGGACATAGAGACATCCGCGAGATCGATGTCTTCGTCGGAAGCGTGCTTGACATCGAGGACACAGATCGGAGTGGGCATGATGTCTGAGGTCGTGTTACACATGCCTAGCATCAGTGAAGAATGTTGTTACTGTTCTGGATCGTTTCAGCGGACGGTGCGTGAACCGGTGAAAATTTGCAGGTTCGTAAAAGGATAGAAGAGCTGGGCACGATGTACGGCGGAAGAGCGCACCCATCGCGGAGCCTATCAATGAAGTGACTCTGTGTCACATGAAGTCAATAGTAAGACGACTCCATGGTCAGGCCATGGCGAGAGTACTTGTTACCAGGCGGAATTCAGGCGCTGAGAACGTGAGTGCTGGGTCTGATGATATGAAAGCAGGTTACACTGTGGTTCGAAGTGCAGCATCGGGTTGTTATATGCATGTTAAATGCATGATCGGTGCATTTTGTTAGATGCACTTTGTCAGTTGAAGCACATTCGTATGATGTCAAAGGAAGACAGGTCGACAAGGAAGTCGCAACAAACAAGGGTCCGTGTAGGCCAGGTATCGGCCAACGCCGAAAGTACATAAAACCCGGCCCGACGCGGTCCGAGTGATCGTGCAAGGTGGTTTACGCGCGTCTGCCTCCATTTCTTGCTCTCCCAGTTGCCGAATATATATATCCCGGCCTATGTACACCAAGTCGGGACGTGGCGTCGTGTCGTATAACTGCAGGCACTTATGACGACCTCAGGTTTTGCATATCACTCAGATGCTCACAATCCGGAGAGCCCAAAGGCAAGTCGTCCCGGATATGACCATGTCAAGCGCCAGACAGTTAGTTGTACAGAACGAGCGCACACCACTTTTGAGTTCTCCCATTTTCGGCTACCCGCGATACGTGCACACCTCGTCCCCGCGATTGGCACTTCTACGCTTACCTGTGACCTGTCAGTTTGAGTCTGCATGGACACCCCGAGCCTGACAGGATTCAGAGCAGGCGGTAATCAGACCATACTCGTACGCTACACAGTAGCCAAGTCATTTACTTCGCGCTACAAAAACCCACTAAATATCCTCCGCCTCATCCACGTTCAGAATCAACGTAGTGAAGAATCTGATAATCTCAACAAAGTCATCCGCCTCAATGTCTATACCCAAATCAGCATGGCTCACGGATTG